TGGGTCCCCTCCGCCGGGCGGTCCGGGTGCGCGGTGAGCGGGTCCCGGGAACCCTACCGGGTCTGTGAGGCTGTCAGGGGCTGGTGAGCGAGTCGAGCGAGTTGTTCGGGGCAGGAGGAGCCGGACCCTTGGCCCTGAGCCCTAATGCCAGGTGAGGGTGGGGGGGCGCCTCCCTTCCCGCGGGAAGAAGCCTACAAGTCTCCCTCTGGTTGGCCTTTTGCAAAAACAAAACCAGAGTAAGAATAAGAATATATCCACAAGACGGCCACTAAGGGGAACTCTTCAGAGTCCTTAAAAGTTTAACAGTTCTTCAGGAATTCCCTGGGCCCCAGTTTTCATGTGTGAAAGGAATAAGCTTTCCAAGGGGCTCAGATTTTATGCTTCTAAAACCCTTTTGAACTCTCTCCTGGCCTTTACTGCAGTTCTGACCCGCCCGTCCTGCCCACGGAGCACAAACCCTCAATCACCAGGGCCTGGCGAGGAGGCTCCCCTGCAAATTACACATCCTCTGCCCGCAGATGAAAGGGCGTCTGCGGGTGGAATTTCCCATCTTTTTCCCATGGTGCTGGTTCTCTCTCTCTCTCTCTCCTCTCTCTCTGCTTTGGCCTGCGTTTGGCTTGATGCCACACGCGGCTGACACCCCCACCCCCACCCCCACCACTGTCTTTACAGCCACTGACCCAGAACTGGTCTTCGGGAAACAGGGCCTTCAGCATGGTGAGCCGATGCAATGAGGAATGCGCGCACTCTCCCCTTCGGATGGGAGCCTGCGGCTGGTGAGAAGCTGAGAAGCACTGTTCCTCCTGGGCAGCTGTGGAGCCGGGAGAGTGGGAGATGGGCAGGTCCGCCTTTCTGTGGCTGTGTGTGCTCCTGCCCCTGGCCAGCGGGCACAGCCTCTTCACCTGCGAGCCCATCACGGTCCCGCGGTGCGTGAAGATGACCTACAACCTCACCTTCTTCCCCAACCTCATGGGCCACTATGACCAGGGCATCGCCGCCGTGGAGATGGAGGTGAGGGGCGCGGGCTCGCTGCAGTGACGGCTCATTTTGCAGTGAGCTGCGGCCACGAGTGACTTCTAAGCGCCTCATGCCCGCACATACTTTGGTAGTTCCCCCAGAAATGGGAACTCAGGCTTTTTTCTAATTCACTGAGCATGTAACTGATACTGCCCGGGCTAAGGGGAAGGAGCCCATGGTTTTATAAGCAGTTGTAGTTTGTTTGGCTCAGTTTTTCTGAAGCAAAACAAATGATTGGAAATATTCACACTGCAGACAGTATTTTACTAAAAAGTGACCGTTTCCTAAAGATAGCACTAGGTATTCCTTGTAAGACAATTGCTCCATGGAACTAGAGGCGCAGGTGACACTAAGGCCCGCCCAGGTCCCCTGTCACTTGCCCGGGGCTCAGCGATATGCAGATTGTGGGGCTGTGGAAGAAAGAGCTGCCTGTAGAGGCAGGAACCTGCCCTCCCACACAGATCTGGAGCCTGATATGCCTCATGGAGGAAAGAAGACAAACATGCTTTTGGTCTTTGTTCAGGAAAACTGTCTGGGGAGGGTAAGGGCCCCTCAGGTTGTTCCCAGGAGATAAACTCTGAGCCAGGCATGGTAGTGCATGCCCATAATCCCAGCACCCTGGGAGGATGAGGCAGGAGAACCGCAAGCTCAAGCCCAGCCTGGGCAGTTTAGCAGCTTGGCCGTGTCTCGAAATAAAAAATGAAGATGAAAAAGGGGGTCTGGGGGTACAGCTCAGTCCCCTGGGCGGCTCAGTCTCTGGAGGGTTGATTTTGCAGCTTTGAAGCTCATCCATTGTGGTTCGCTTCAATAGTCATCTGACTACCTTGGTGTAGACGGGTGACTAGAATAGGAAAGTTTTAAAATACTACGTAGCTGTAATTTTAGAAGAGACTACAAGTTATATCATTGTAGTTGTTCAGTGCCTTTTCAAGCTAATGCCAGATGTGCTTTTGAGCGCTGAACCAATGATGCAGTGAGAACTTCGTCGATGAATCAGAACCGTTTTTTGGTTTTATCTAAGGAAGCATGTGGCGGTGACACAGTAAGCAGTGATTACACCGTGTGTGTTTTATCTGACAGTTAGATGTTCTATAACTTAGGCTTCGGCAGTATCCTTAAAGCGTCTCATTTTAATCAGATTTCCTTCCTGTGTCGTAGCTGCCTGCGTTTTAAGTTGGAAAGCAGCAGCGACCTTGTAAATCACTTCCTTTAGGCTGAGTCCCTGTAGACTGCTGGAGAGACAGGGTGGAGATGCAATCCTTCCACCAGAAGTTTTGACCCTAAAGATCACACAGGACTTCTTATCGTCTTTTATACCACTGACTCCTTCTCAGAATAAGAGACTGTTTTAGAACTTAAGTGAAATGCAGAGGATGGTAAGAGAACCCAGTTATACTGAGATGCTTCTGTGTACGGCTCAGGTTAGGAACCCCCAAGCCCTTTGTCCTACAGTGCAGAACGGAAGCCCAGAAGGTCTGATTTGGCCAAGGCTTGCACTCTGTGACCCGCCTGGCTTCCACCATGATCCTATTTCCTAACATGCTGAATGTGGTGAGCAAGTTTCAGTCTTGTCCACGTCTTTCCGGACTTCACTGGGTTAAAATAACGAGGTGATTTTTAAAAACCCATTCAGCTCTTCCTGTCTCTCTCCACCCTCCTAGTGTCTTGATTACAGTCATATTAGATCAGAAATAAGGCCCCCGCCTTTCGGTCTTTCTTCCATAGCAGTGCCAAAGTGATTGTAGGAAAATGCAAATCCATGTGGTCAGAAAAACAATGACCTGATTCTGGAGTGGTCCCAACCATGTGTGGGGAGCCTGCCATGTGTCCCCTGGCACACGGCAGCCAGACCGACCTGTTTGTAGACCCTATTTTAAGCGATTCACCTGTCATCCTCTTTTGTCCTGACGGAATTTAGCTCTGGAGAAATACTTCAGTTGACATCCTTTATTTTCTTTCCCATATTAGCTCTATGTTAAATAATTCATTTTACGTAAAGGAACCTTTGATTGGACCACTGGGTTTATAAACTATATGTGTCAGGTTTTTTATTTTTTCACACATACGCTGGTCCTTAATAGTCCAGTTAAGTTCTCGATCATAGCTACATGGGCTTTGGCTTTCGCTAAAAATGGGTGTCATGGCTTCTCTCGAGATTGGGTTTTACACCTCCCAGCAGCTGCCTTTGGTTCCTGCTGGTGCCTCGTGAATTTCCAGTGAATTAGGGTTAGGGCGAGCAGCTGAAGACTGCCTGATGCTTGTGGCAAGCGGTCGCTTTCTTGGCCACCAAGTTCCACCCAGTGGCACCTCGGTTCAGGAGCTTAATTTGTTCCGGGAATCTGGGGAGGTCAGCTGTGCACCTGTTCGTCAACCCATGCAGAGTTCTCAAATGGAAGCAAAATTATCCCAAACGTTTCTGTTTGCGAACCGAGACGTTCCTAAGTCGAGATGTGCCTCACTCCTCCGACGTGCCTTCGTTCCCACCCTGGGACAGCAGGCCTGCTTGGTCCAGCTCGTTACTCTGTGATGACGTGGACCTGTGGAGCAGTGATTCCCGACGTTTAGCTCCCAGACCAACAGCTGTGGGCTTGTTGGAAGTGCTAGTTTGAGGGCTCCCTGGACCTACTGAATCCCGATGGTGGAGGCAGAGCCCAGGAAACTGCTTCAGCCGGTGACTGTTAGGAATGGTGGGGTTCAAGGCCAGGGGGTTAGGTATGAGGATTGCAGGGCAGCTCAGACAGCCCCTGCCACGGTCACTGAGCTCTGCGTTATGGCAGAAAGGCTGTCACAGCCGGTCTGAGGATAAGCGGGTGTGGCTGTGTCCCAGTATTTGCACAAGTCTCAGGGGGCCCTGTTTAGGGGACCTTGCTGCACTGTAAATACTAACTAGACAGCACCTTGGCGATAGTCTGCCGTGTGACGGGTGTGACCATGTGCACTCACTAACACTCCCTGATTCTGTGCTACTTACTTTCCATGTGGATTTTTAAGAGTTTAATGCATCATAAACCAGAAGCACCTGCCTGGGATATACGGCATTTTGTTTTCAGAGAATGCTTGCAGTAAGGCATCTGTTTTTTCTTGTTTTATTCTGGGAATGAAAGTCCTTCAGATTAGGAAGAGTTAATGTCTCATTCTGATTCTGAGTCGAGATTTGGCTTTGTCCTGAGAGGATGTTGTGTATTCTGCCTCTCCCAGTGGAAAAACAGACGCTGCAGGTTTCCATTGTGTGCCTTTGCTTTTGGATCTGGAGCTCTTTCCCAGGCTGTGAGGCTGACCAGCGTCCCTGGAGGGACTGACTTCATCCAGGGAGCCCCGGCTGACCTCGGGAAAGGGGAAGCAGGAACACTGAGTTTTTCTTTTTGAATTGCCGCAAAAGCAAAGACCCCATTGTGTTTGGAACAGCACGTGGCCAGTCCACTCTGGAGGGCCTGCAGGGAAGTGAGTCAAGAGTCCTTTTCACCTGTTCATGTGCACTATTAAAATGTATCTACTCAATTAAAAATAAAGGTGTGGAGAAAGCCTGAACAACAGACTGCTAAGAAAAAAAAACTATTTAGATGACGCAGTATTTAAACATTTCATTTGTCTACTTTTAGAAGAATCCAGTGGACTCTGTCCCATGGTCACCTGTCACTTTGTCCTTGTCCTTTTTTGGGTGGTACTGGGAAGAGTTGAACCCAGTGAACGACACTTCACACTGAGCTACGTCCCCAGCCTTTTTTATTTATTTTTTTATTTTTTGTGTGACAGAGGTCCACGAAGTCACTGAGTTGCCCAGGATGGGCTCAAACCTGTGCGATCCTCCTGCCTCGGCTTCCCAGAATGCTGGGATGATAAGCATGGACTACCACGCCTAGCTCCTTCTTACTTCCTCTGTAGCCCAGCACATATGGAGAGGAAATGTTGAGTGTGACAAACCTCTGATTTTTAGGGAATACTACTTTAGAATGGCAGTAGCTGTGTCACCAGTTAGCGTAGGTCCTTGCTTGGAGAGATAATGGGAATTAAAACTAAAGTCCACATTTGCAGGAAAAAAGCTGGAATTGAAAAGTATGTGAAAACATGAAGGGTTTTTAGCTGGGGAACTGACAAAGATCAAGCCTGGACTGGACTACGTGGCAAGACCCTGTCTCAGAAAACCAGAAAACAGAGGGAAGTGGACTCTGGCCGGAGCAGCTGGAAGGGCGCGCTGTGGTGGGCTAGGCTGGCCCTGCAGTTTCGCAGGTCAGGCTGAAGCCGGGCCGTCCCAGTCCTGCAAGCCTCTGCTGGGACCCAGGTGACCACAGCTTTGGGGCGGTGGAGATCTGGAGCAGCGGGTTGTTCCCACAGATCTCTCCTCCTGACGTCCTCGGTCCTGAGGCGAGAGATTAGGGGAATCTAGGGCTGATGAACCTTGCTTTGCCAAGTTTTAGACAGAATCTCCCCAGATGATTAGCATATAATTACCAATTCCCCAAGGAAAGCTCTTTTGGAAAAATAATTTAAAATTTCTAACACTCCCTGCCAAGAAATATCTTTAAAATAATGAGTTTTCCATTCTGGAAATCCTGCAAATTGCTGCTTTTTATTCTTCTCAGACCTCACTTTATATTTTTTAAAGAAGCTGATCCATCTGAGATTGATCACATTGACAAAAAAAGCAACCGTTTCACCCTCTTTGATACAGCAATCCATTGACTTCCTCAAAAAACTTACTCAAGCCTTTTGTAGCCACTTTGACAGTGTCTGCTTGGTGCATCCAGATGATCTCTAAGGTCCATACTTTTTCTTTCCAATCCCTTCTTAGATTTCTTGACCTTCTCTCAATTTTCATCACTCACTAGAAGTCAGATTTCTTGTCAGTGCCATCTTAAAGCAAGAAGGGTTTTATCACTTTGTGGGAGTTACCAGGCCCGTGACTGGGGTAGACTCTCAGAGTCATGTGCTTTGCAGTCACATGGCCTTGGGAAGGTGGCTCAATTCCACACACCAGTGGGATCCTGACTGATGCT